GTGACTGCTTGGAGTCTATCCTTCCGTCTGAGGAGAATGTTGCTGCTCCTCATATCGCTCGATCACAGACTGGACTACTCCGTGACTTGCGGTGCTTTATCAGAACTTTTATGAGGCATAATGCTTTCCTTTTGCATCTTCGAACACCAATGGTCCCACCGGGCGTGCCAAATTGTTTCGCGTGGTTACTCGCTAACAATTAAAAGAGGATCAGACGATTGTGTAAGGAACAAACCTCTTGGAACAAAGTCCCAAAAAGGGGTGTTTATTGAATATGAAGATTACAGTTTAGATACGAACAAGATGCCTCCAAGGGGCGCAAGCACACAAGTACAAGGATATTAATTAATTAAAGTTAATCTAAAAAAAAGTAAATTACATATTCTCTGTTTGAGAGTGAATTTTGTCGGGGTTTTCTTCATTGCTTTCCTCTTCCTTTTATACTCTTTGGACAGTTCTTAACCGTTTGGACTCTGTTTGTAACTACCCATTTCTTTTATAGTGGCTGACTGGCCAATAACTACCATTTGTAACTCCTACCATCACGTTTTCTTCATAACCGCTTGTCACTAATTTTCTCAAATCGTGGGGGTGTAATCGTGATGTGCTCAAACCGCCTCAAATCGTGACTTTAGATAACAACAGGGTTCAGTCATCACTGGGATTCTGGGCGACCCAGAAATTTGGGCGACGACTCCTTCGCTCTGAGCGTCCATAGGGTACTTTATTCGCTCAACATCTGGACGTTCTACAAGTTTGGGCAACGGCGTTCCTTTGCTTGTGGGCTTTTACATTCTTCAATAATTTCCTTTACTTGGGCTTTCATATTGGATTCCCAATTAAGTTTCGCTCTTTGGGCCATTTAATTTGGACTGCACTTTTAGTGTGTCAACAGTCATATACCAATAATCTCGGCAGCCATGCATTTATAGTGTAGATTTTCATTCAATATTCAGCTGGAAATTCTTCTCGACTAGGCATCTTATGGCGGCATTAGAATGTTGTGCTTTAGAATACTGGGTTTATCATTCTCTTCATTGATGTACAGTGTTTTCAGTGGAATAGTTTTACTCCCCTAACTCAACATTCAAAGATGGAATTGTATAAATTCAAAGCTGTGGAGTTAATATTTGTTTCTAATGTAAATTGTAAAATGAAAAATCAGTCTCTATTGCAGAAATTAAATAGGTTTAAGCAAAAAAATAACAGTGATACTTGCCAATCAGATACGATAACATAACCTGGCACAATCAAGAAATAACTTCACTAAGTATAGAAATGCCAAAAACAAAGGAATATAATTATACAAGCTTAAACCACAAACAAAAATGTACGCGGTAAAACAGAATGTCTAATATCAGTTTCTAATTATATTCTAGTACAATCATTATATCGCTCACAACTATGTACTTGTCAACCAAAACCTCCCCAAAAAAATCGAAAAGTTTAACCCTATTGACCACTATGTCAGTCTGTCAGTCTTCAAGGCAAGGCAAAAATGACTGTTCTAAAACAAATGAATGCTATATATTACATCTGTATATAAATGGTATATATGGTGAACCATCCAGGGTTGAAAGAAACAAAGGAAGAATTTTGTACATACGCATTATAGGTCAATTCTTTGAAGGTGTCTTTGGCCGTGTCCTCATACTGGCTCTCCGAGCCACATCCCATGCCTTTTGAGGTACATAAACACCTGCCTGTGATGCAAAAAAGGACTCATAGCCAGGTGAATCAAAAGCGAAACCAGTGTGCTTTGATTTCTGTCCCGGGAGTTGCATTATAGCATAGCTCCGTGCCTCATCTGGCGAAAGGTCGTCGTTTCCAACTTCAAGTAATCCTATCCTGCTGTTATCAGGCTCATGTCTGTGAATTTCCTGAACAATCTGATAATCATAAGGGAAGAACCACCTTTGAACCCTGAAACCAGATTGACAATGCTTTTAGGAATGCATAACCAAAATATTGACAGAAACAAAGGCATCAAGCAACAGATAAAAACGAGGGCTTAATTGTAAAAGTGAAAATAAACTTTTCTGAGGAATAGATAGATCAAACAGAATACAATAATCTCCATAGCCAGAATATAGTCAAGCAGATTAATTGTAAAGATAAAGGGTTAATTTCTTTTTCAGTCACCTGTAGCGAGATCTCACTTGCACCATCGAACTCCATTTCAAAATGATCAATTAACTTTCATTTTGTTGCAACATTGGTCTTTCTTTCCACATCCATTAGTAAAAGCTACTAAAAAATCTTGATGTGGCATTTAACAGTAAAGAAAGCTTATGTGGTGCATTTTTTAACCAAATGAAATATTTAGTTCCTACATGGAATAATCGTGGCTAAAAAGCCAAATATCCATAAATCAATCATCTCTCTTGTAATTGAAGATTTTCTTCCACTGTACACCGCAAACCCCACCCCCAAACACAAACACACACTTTCTTCTCTTGTTCTTTTGTGTCCCCTTCTTCCAACTTGTATATATTTATCTTTACCTTCCTTTCTCTAATACCCTTGGAAATAAACATTTTCTTTAAAACAAAATAAGCCACGTCAAAGTTCATTACTGTTAAATGCCACATTAGACTTTTCCGTTAGTTTTTAATAATAGATGAGAAAAGAGTGACTATTGTTTCGACAAAATGAAAGTTAAAGTGACCATTTTGAAACAAAACAAAGTTGATGACTTAGGTGAGATTTCACTACAAGTTCAGTGACTGAAAATCAAATTAACCCTAAAGGATTTTTTATTTAAATGGCAAACCAACTTGTAGAAACAAGTTCATATCAAAAATAAAAACTTGTAGAAACAAGCAACATTCCCATGCATTGTGCCTTGTCCACAGAGAGAATAATGCTCCTAAATATGAACTTTTTAAAGCTTACCCAAGGTATACAAAGTCGCAAAAGAGTGCAGCAACAGGAACAAGAAGAAGAGTGATGTAGAAATACAATGTACTCATTAATACATAAATGACAAAATAGATATTCTCCTGCAATCAAAGCAAACACAGAAAATTAGCATCTGAATGCCAAAAGATGTTTGAGATTATACTTAGATAATTACCTGCTCTTTTGGCAAGACAACACCTGAGTAAATGAAGACAAATATGAACCATGCTAGTATGCTTCCTCCAATACTAATGTGGTGCCATCTAGTAATTGTGTTGCACATCATGAGGAGACGCAAATTGACAGTCACGACAACACAAGTGAAAGCCATTGTACTGACATCCCACAGCCCAAACATCTTGCCAGATGAATTCATGCCACTCGTACTTGAAGCAATCACAAAATAATACAAAATCAGTGATTGATAAATTGCAAAAAAAGCCCAAGTTGCAATAACTCTCCACTTGAAGAATGTATTTCTTATTCCTTCCTTGTACAATTCGGGGTATTTCTTGGAAAGAGCTGCATTAACATCCTACAAAAGACGCATGACATAATTGTGATACCAAAAGCACTGATTCCCAATATAAACAATCTGGTTATGGTCAGCAAATATCAAGCAATAAAAATATCTGAACAGAGTACCTTGTCAAAAAGTCCAATAATGATTACAGGCAGCGCGGTGAAAATAACATTGTACAGAGACTGAAACCAATCATCATAAAACCTTTGACCAGAAAATCCAGTTTGGAAGGTGAACCAAAATTGAGTGAGAGTAAATGTCAAGTTCTTGTAAAAGAAGTATGTCACAACCTGTTACAGAATTTAGCAGCTCAGAATTGTCCAAACAGTAAAAGGAACAAATTTTACCAGGCAAAGGATGGTAGAATAACAAACCTTGCATATTCTAGCATACGACCACCTTCCATGAACAAGGAGTAAATCTGTGAGAAAGCGGAACTGTGCAATGGCAAAATCACTGGCCATCACTGCTTGCATTCCTTCCTGCCCACTTATTCCGACACCAACATGAGCAGCTTGAATCATGCTGACATCGTTAGCACCATCACCAATACTAAGGGTAATCCTCTTTGCACCCTTCCTTACTAAGCTTGTCACCTGAAAGAAAGGTTACATCACGCACAAGATGACGAACTAGACACAATCAAAGGCAGCATCAACAACAACAACAACAACAAGGGTTTTGACAATGAAAAATTATTAAGGCTGTTGTGCAGAAAATTCGAGTTCCTGTTTCATCATTGACATCTTCATGATAAATCTGTTGTGATTGTGGAGATTCTCAATGGATAAAAACTCGGGCCTTCCACTTGACAAAGCCATAGATTGTATAATAAAACATGCGAAGCCATTTTCTTAGGTTTTCATCAAAGACAAAATAGTCATTCTTAAAATTACTGTAGCACAGACATTTCAACTAGGGTAGCATATCCATGTCCGTCATGTGTCGAATATTGACACTCGAAAACTCTACCATGATCATTTTTCTTTTCTTATTTGAAATGTTATATATTTTTAACTAAAATTTATTAGAAAATAACAAATATATACTCATAGTTAAAATATTTCAATAAAAAAAATTAATAACAAGTATAAAACTAAATTTATACTATAAAAATGAAGTATTTTAAATAATATAATCAACATGTTGATAATATGTCGTGTCAATAATTTTTTTTAAAAATCGCATGTCGATGTATTCGACACATATCGTGTTGAACACACGTATCCGTGACGATGCATCATAACTTAAAACAATACAAAAAAATTTATACCGTATAATTCAATCACAAAACCACATAAAACTCCATTGCAGTTCTCGTGTTGCAGCAGGTACTCACAACTATTTTTAGTAGTTACGGGAGTTATTATGATATAGTTCATTTAAGAAACTTCAACATATCAATAGATCAGGATTAAAAAAGGACTAGCATCAGAATTTTTTTTAACTAGTAACGCGTTCAAAATTAGTTTGAGCATTGTTGAATATATGGAAAGAATAATCTCTATGATATTTTTCCAATAATGTAGGATTATTTTCTTTAATAGTTGATTGTATAATTATTATACAATCTTTCCTTTTAGAGTTATTTATAGGCTTATAAATAGGGTCTTTTAATTTGTAATAAAAAAATGTTTATTATATACAATTTATAATATTCTTCACATGGTATTAGAGCAATTTCGATCATAAACAAATTAACCTTTGAATTTCGTTTCCGGCGATCGGCTCAAGGCCGCTAGTCCGGCTACCAATGTTGTTTTTTTTTTTTTTTTTTTT